TGTAGGAACAAGTGTTGCTAGTTGCATTTCTCATAGCCCAGTGACGAGACTGGCGTTTCTGCTTACAAAACCTCCAGATTTCCCCCTTTATCTTGAGATTTTCGTCTTCGATTTTGTCTCTGAACATGTTAAAATTGTTAACTGCTCTTTGGTTGGGTATTGGATACCAGAGAGGAGTGGAATGTTTGCAGAGGCAGGGTGGAATAGAGAGAGTTCAGGGTGAATTAAAATTTCAGAGCAGGTTGAGAAGGATTAGTTAAGTCTGTTAAGAGAAATAACGATAACATTAAGCATATAGAGTCCCAAATCCGAGAGTTGATGGTTTCTTAAAAAAGAAAAGGCATAGGGGGCAACTCAAAGATTAATTTTTATCAAACAAATTTTGCTTTGTTTTTGTGGTTCTGGAGACCAAACCCAGGCCTTATATATGCTGGACAGACCCTGTACTAACTTTAGGTTATGATTTTCTGTTACTCATTCTTTTTTTCTGTTGAGAGGTTTTCTCGTGTTTAATTCAGTGATCTGATTGAAACCTGGGTTACATAGGACTGTTACCAAAATTAAAATTGAAACTAGGGAGATGACTCAGTGGTTAAGAGCACAGGCTGCACTTCCAAAGGACCTGGGTTCAGTTTTGAACCCCCACATGGTGGCTTAGAACCCCTCAGTAACTCCAGTTCCAAGAGATCTGATCACTCTTCTGGCCTCCACAGGTGCTTCAGGCATGTGATGTACAGATATACATGGAGGCAAAACACCTGTACACATAAAAAGATTAAATTTTTAAAAATCGGTAAAAAAAAAAAACAAAGATAAATTTTTATAAAGTAGCCAAAATATTATTAAATGTTCTTTCCAAGGAGTTTTTAGGCCCATTGCTCCAAAAATACTCAAGAGGTTGAGACAAGCAGTTTGCTTGAACCCTGGAGTTTGAGATGAACCTGGGCAACATAGTGAGACCTTGCCTTGGAATGAATGAGGCATTAAGCTGAACTAGTCCCTTTCAGGTAAGACTGGGTCTTACCCTCCTAACTTTAGAGATTAGATTTTCAGCTAGATTCTTGTTTTTGGAGACTGAGTCTTTCTGTGTGGTCCTGGCTGTCCTGGAACTAACCCTGTAAGTCAGGCTGACCTCAAACTCTGCATCCTGAGTGCTGGGACCAAAGGTGTGTCTTAACACTGCCTGGCAAGGGCTAGAGTTTTTAAAATTACTCTGTGTGTGTGTGTGTCTGTCTGTCTGTCTGTCTGTCTGTGACCATCTGGACATTTTGGAGGTGTCTGTTTTCTCCTTCCACTTGGTAGGTTACCCAGATTGAATTCAGAAAGTGCCTTAGCCCACTGAGCCATCTCACCAGCCCAATTACTATTATTTTTTTCTCTGTATCCAAGAGTGACCCAGAATTAACAGCTATCTTCCAGCCTCCACTTCTGTTTGATAAACCTTCAAATTAATCATCTAATTGTCACCTGATCTTCAACTGATTTTCCCTTTGAAGGGATAATGTCTCTTTCCCTTTCCTTTGCCTCTCCTCTGCATGCACAGCTTGTCTTTGTTTTTGTTGAGATAGTCTCTCTGTGCTGGCCAAGCTCAGTGTAGACCAGGCTTGCTCCAAACTTGTGATTCTCTTGCCCTGCCTCTCCAAAGCTGTGTTTATAGGTGTTTAGCACCATGACACACAGCCTAGGGGAGCAACAGTTCTTTTGTGTGTGTAGAGGCTAGAAGACAATCTTGAATGTTCTCCACTGTTTTCCTTTAAATTTTTGTTTGCTGGTTTTTAGAGATAGGGTCCAGTGTTGCCCTGGATTTTTGGTTTTGGTTTTGCTTTTTTTTTTTTTTTAAGATTTTATTTATTTATTATGAATACAACATTCTGCTTCCATGTATATCTGTACACCAGAAGAAGGCACCAGATCTCATAACGGATGGTTGTGAGCCACCATGTGGTTGCTGGGAATTGAACTCAGGACCTCTGGAAGAGCAGTCGGTGTTCTTAATCTCTGAGCCATCTCTCCAGCCCTGCTTTTGCTTTTTAAAGATAAATTTATTATGTGTTTGTTTTGCCTGCCTGTATGTAGGTATGGTGCATGAGTGCGTGCGTTCGTGTTTGTGTGTGTGTGTGCTTGTGTGTGTTCGTGTTCCTGAAGGCTATCAGATGCTCTGTAACTGTAATTGTGGACAGTTGTCAGTGAGTGCTGAGAGTCTAACCCAGGTACTCTGGAAGAACAAGCGCAGCAAGTGCTCTTAACCACTGAGGTAAAGAGTAAAATGTGAAGAAAAAAAAAAAAAAATCAGCCTAAAGATACCAGAAACTTATGCAATAGGAAATGAGTTATTTGCTTCATGTTACAGTTGTTTATGTAAAAATTAAAAATAGCCAATTATGAAAATAACTCATGAATTATCACTAGAGAAGTGGTAACTTAATTCCATGAATATACAGTGAAACCAGCCAGTCTAAAAGTAGTAGTTTAGTGTTGAAAACTCTAACAGACATCTGACGTGCTCATGTGTAACGTGTAATACATTAAAATGAATATTGAGGAAGTCTTGTTCTGTATTACATACAGTCAGTTTTGTAATTTGAAAATGTTACAATTGTATGGCAAAAAAAACCCCAGAATGTTAGTGTTTAAAAGGGGAATGCAATTCACATGACATTCCACAACCCAGATGTAGCCTATTTATTTTCAGATCATATAAAAACTTTTATTTTGAAATATTTCCAGACTTACAAGAGTTCCAAGAATAACATAAATCCCTCAGTCCACTTTATCTAGATTTACTAATCTTTCTTTACACACACACACACACACACACACACACACACACACAGTTGCAGATGTGATAATTGTGTGCCACGTAACTCTTACAAGCTATATATAAACTGAATGCTTTTTTTGTATAAGGATGATGTCTTATGTAACCATGGAACAGTTATCAAATTCAGGGCATTTAATATTATCTAATGTAGCACATGTGCAGGTTTTGCCAGGTTGCCTCAGTAATGCAATCCGATTCATTGTCACTCATGCATTTAGTTGGCACATCTGTCTCTGTGTGGCAGAATGTTTCTGTTTTTGGAAAGAGTGATGCCATTTGTCCTATTATTCTTTGTTTGTTTTGTTTTGTTCTTTTCTCTTTTTTTTTAGTTTTTCGAGACAGGGTTTCTCTGTGGCTTTGGAGACAGTCCTGGAACTAGCTCTTGTAGATCAGGTTGGTCTTGAACTCACAGAGACTGCCTGCCTCTGCCTCCCGAGTGCTGGGAATGAAGGCGTGCACCACCAATGCCTGGCTTGTCTGTCTGTTTTTAAGATAGTCTCTGTACATAGCCCTGGCTGTCCTGGACCTCACTATTGTAGATCAGGTTGGCTTTGGGCTCACAGAGAACTGCCTGCCTCCAAGAACTGCCCTGTCTTCCAAGTACTGGGATTAAAGGTATGGGCCCCAATGCCTGGCCCTGTCCTATTATTTTTAACAGGTCACTTGCACTTATTAAGGTGGTCTTTCCCAGGTTTCATTACTGCATTGATTTTCTCTTTGTAATTAAAAAGCAAGTCATGGCCTGGTGTGGTGACACGTGGTTGCAGAATTGTGGTGAGTTGGTAGGTGGTGTTGTTTTGCTCCAGCTTCTGTGCATCGATGAAACACCAAACTCAACAAACCCACATGGAGTTTATTGGGAAAGGGAGTGAAGGTGTTGGCTAGCTAGGAACAGAGATGGAAGGGGGAAGGGAAGAGAAAAGAGGTAAAGAGAGAGGACAGGAGAAAAGAGGAAGACAGGAAAAGTCTAGTCTGCCCCAGGGGAACAGCAGGAAAGAGAGGAGAGAAGGAAGAGATAGTAGAGAGGAGCAGGAAAGAGAAGAGAGCAGAAAGAGATGAACAGGCAGAAAGACATTAAGTGGGTGGGGTCTTTCTCTTAAAGGGGTCCTTTGCACCTCCATGGAACCCTGGGCTTAGCAGTGTACTGCCTGAGTGCATTCTGCCAGGTGACAGGGGCAGACCAGCATAATGCCTGAATCTTTACATTCCCACCTTTATTATTAAAAAGGTGTGAGGAGTTAGGTATGGCAGGATAGGGAATGAGGGCATTGAGTTCTCAAGACTACTTCCTGCTGACCCTGGGGCATTGACCATCTTTGGGGGGCGGGAAGCTGGGGTGCTGCCACATCCTGGGATAGCTGGTAGTTTCATCGAAGTTCAGGCTGTATGGAACTCTGGTGCCTCTCAGACCTGGGTGGGTCCAATTCAGCTCCCTGAAACTTATAGGAATTCTTTGAGTTTGTAAAAACCTAAGTTTTAGACATACTAAATATTTGAGACTTAAGTTGCCTATGTAGAGTTAGCTTACATTCATATATATGACAGACAGGACATTTAAAGAGACAGAGTAGACTTAAAACTGTCAGTGACAAGAAAGCAGATCCACTGCAGATGGAACAGGCAGGGTTTTTGCATGAAATGTGTGCCCTACCGGTCCCCAGAAAGGCACACCATTCTACAAACAAGCCATGCACAACAGAGTCAGCGAAAGAAGAAATTAAAGACAAAAAAATAAAAGGTAAAAAAGAAAATGAATTGTGTCTGGGTTTGTCGGCAGAATCTGGCTAGTCTGCCCCTCTGCCTAGGCTGAGGGAAGGGAGTAACCCATGGAGTGGGCCAGCCTACAGCTAACCTGCATGGTTGCCCTCAGTCAAGATGGCAGCTGCCATAAACAGGTTCCCATCCACTGGAAGAAGTTAGAAAGGTCCTGTAAAGTTTTAAGATACAATTTTGTTGGCTTGTTTCCCATGATTGAGGCAGAAAGATATATGAAACCCATAGGACACTGGTGTCCAAAGGGCACAACATCCAAAAAGACCAGCGTAGGTCTGAGAAACAAATGCACCAGTCAGTATGGATGGTACTAGGGTACAAAAC